TCTATAAGGACAATTTTACTTTGATAATTAAGTTCAATAAATTCTAGTTGTACTTTAGTGCTCATTTTCTGATTTACAATGTATTGTCATTTTATCCTATCTTAATGAAATCTATTATTGTTTTCTTGAAATTATTGTGTATCTATAAAAAAAAAAAGGTATAAAAATCAAAATGAAAAAAACAACAAAAAAAAATAAAGATATAAAATACATCATATCTTAGAATTTTAGAACAAAACAAAAAAATTAAGTTATTCAATACCTATCTAGATAACAGTTATTTTTCGACTGTTACATTTTCAGCGATAAAAAAATAGAATAAAAAGAATTAAGAGAAAATAATTAAAAATGAGATGTTTTTATCTTCATGCTTATAAATTCAATTTCTTTTTATAGTTTTAGTAAGACACACTTTCCAATTTAAGGGATCTTACATGGGATAGAATTAAGATTCACTACCAAAAAGAAAATGAAATTAGCTAGTAATTTGCTAAATACAAGCATGATATGTGTTTGAGCACATATAACTATCAAAATAAATAAATATGAAATTATTTAACACAATTTTTTGATATTTCTTTTTGGTATGAATAGTTATATCAAAACAATAAATATATAAAATGTGTTTGAGCACATATAACTATCACTTAATCATGATTAATTAATGAATATTTTTATTTTATAAATTAGTTTATTATGATAAATTAAATTAATTTTGTGTACATACCCGATGCGTTTTAGCTTTTTACTAGAAAGGAAACACAAAAAGCACGAAGTTATTTGGTTTGTGATGATAAATTAATTAAGAAAAAAAATTAAATGTGTCATCAAATTTTGAAAAAAAAAAATCATTTATATCATGTGTTAAAGTTTAACTCATCAATACCTTCAATATTTCACCAACAATAGTTATATTAACAGCAAGACCAACAATAGTTATATTAACAGCAAGACCAACAATAGTTATATTAACAGCAAGACCAACAATATAAATAGTACAATTAATGATAATGATAAATATTGCAACAACATCAAAAATAGAAATAAAAATAACAGAATATTTCCCAAACTATTCTTTTAGCAGTTCAAATTTCATAAAAATAAATAATTAAACCTTACTTCAATTTACAAAAAATTGACTGACACTCATAAGTAATTATCAAATTTCCTCATAATACATGTATATAATATATGTATCTAAGTGTATCTTCCTCATAATATCTGCTTATCTCCATTTTGGAAAGTAATTATCAAATTTCGAATTTGTTACTTAATTATTTATTTGAAAAAAAATCTAATTATCTATAGTTCAAGATCAAGTGTTTCAATTAGAGGTGACAAAATTAGTCCATGAAATTAGAAGGAGAGATTATATAATTAGACGTACTTCACTACCATATATGTTATATTACCTATACTATTAAAATATTACGTATATTTCCACTAATTAACGGTTTCCTACCATTTATTGTGTAAGATACACTTAGATACATGTATTTTTGCTATCAGATTCACGAAAATAGCGAGAGGTGAGCGAGATTCGTTATGTATTGCAGATACATGCGAGTGGACTAGATACATGTATTTGGTATGATTCACATCTATCTAAGACCAGATACATAGGAGAGAGAGGCAAGGCAGGCGAGCAAGATTTGTTTTGTATCTAAAATACATGTGAATCCACTTGGATACAATGTATCTAGAACAAATTACACTTAATTTTGACATAATGTATTTCAAGATACATGTATTTGAATGTATCTGAACACACCAAAATTTAATAAGATACGTAATATTGCAAATTAAAGTATATCTAAGTAATTAACTCCTAAACTAATAGAATTTTCGCAAGTCCCTAAATTAGAACCTGCCCAATTTGTTCATATTTGGATTGATTGTTGACCTGGCCATTTCAGCCCAACCTATTTTAGCCTCCATCAAATTTTGGGCTGGCATCTAAATCAAATTGATTCTTGAGAAATTTTGTCAAAATATTTTCAAAACGACAATTTATTTTATTGGATCATGAAAGGCTCAAAGAAATGTTGAAGAAAGAAATTTGCTCTAATTGTTATCACAACAACTTGCGCAAGAACAATGTCGAGTTGAAAATACAGGTTGATTTTACACTGTCAATATATACGACTTATTTTTTTTAATAAATTGTTGACTTTATATCTTTTTTTGTAGCATGGAACTTCTAATGAGATTGCATGATACTAGCATATTGCTTTCGTAGTCTAAAAATAAATTATTTATAGATCTCTCTAGAAGGACAATTTTAATTTTATAATTATGGTCATTAAATTCTAGTGGCACTCTAGTGCTCATTTTCAAATTTATGAATTATGAATTATCATTTTATAAGATCTTGACGAAATCTATGATTGTTTTTTTGAAATTATTGTGTATCTATAAAAGGGTATGAAAATTAAATGAAGAAAACAACAATAAAAATAAAGATATAAAAGACATCGGATTTTAGGTTTTTAGAACAAAGAAAAAAAAATGTATAAGTAACTTTTTTATATTTGTCCAAATTTTGATGAATAAAGTTATTTGGTACCTATCTGAGTAAACTATTTTATTCTAATAAATCCCTCTATTCCTTCTGATAAATAATTAAATATAATTACTATAATTTCAGTCATATTTAAAAGGCCAAACACATAAACAACCCCTCAAACTTGCCCTCATTTTTCATTTTGGCACTCCAACTTAGCCTTGTTCCATTGTAACCCTTAAACTCCATTTTTTCTTACCATTTAAACACTAATACTAATTTTTATGATTTTTTATTTATTTATGTTATTCAATTGCAATTTCTTATTTTTAAAAATAGACGTGTGTCTGTTAATTTTCATTTAAAAAATTAAACATTCGCGAATTTTTTTTTCAAACAATAATATTATTTTTTGAGATTTCTCTGTATTTTTGCATGAAAGTAAATTGACGAAAGTTTTTTGATCTTCTTTCTTAAACATTCAATTAAATTAAATAACACTACTTATTTATTTTTTCTTATCATCTAGGCTATCTAAATTTAACGCAAATACTCACTTTTTATTTTAAATATAAATCAATACGAATAAAAAAACTCATCTTCAATACGAGTAAAAAAGATTCTTGTTCATTGCTAATAACACTACTAGAAAATGTTAAAACTTGACTGACTTTGTTAGATTGTCAGTGATTTTTAAGAAAGAAAACCAACACAATTTCATCGGTTATTTTTCACACAAAAATACATAAAACTCTTAAAAAGAAATTATTATTTTTTAAAAAGAATTAATTTTTGTTAATTTTTATTTTTTAAAACTAAAATTAACTGACACATGTCGATTTAAAATAAGAAGTTGCAATTGAAGAATATATATAAAAATAAAGAAATCATAAAATAGTATTTCGTATTAAAATGGTACATAAAAAATGAAGTTTAAGGGTTAAAATGGAACAAGGCTGCCAAAATGAAAAATACGGACAAGTTAAAGGGGTTATATATGTGTTTGGCCTATTTAAAAATTATTTAAATATATGGAATGAGTATGTAAGATTTGGTCAATATTATTATTGATTAATGCAAGTATTGTTAAGTCTGTTAAATCACGTGCTTTTTCCAGATTGAATTTATTTCGCCCATTAAATTTAATTTCAAAAATTGAAAAAAGCATCATAGAAGTGAGGCCAGCTATCATCAATTTCAACACTATGGATAGAATTAATTGAGTTAGATATTTTGTCGGAAACAATCTCCTGCATATAAAATAGACGTAAAATATACCTATGTACTTCATTTTTCTTCGATCTTACTTATGAATACATTATTAAATATGTTGTTCTTGCGTTTTTCGTAATTTAGTGGAACATGATCTAAGAAAATCGGATAACTTAAAGAGACAAAAGATATACGTTTAAATTTAAACTATAGATTATCAGTTACATATTTGAATTATGCAGGATGCTATGAGTTATGACCCATGCGATAAGTTAGAAGTGAAGAATAAAAATTAAATATTATAAAAAATATATATTTTTTAAACAAACTAAAAATAAATAAATACATATAAATTAAAATGGATAAGAAAGAGTATTACTTTCTCTTTCTCAATTTATATTACACACTTTCTGTTTTAGTCCATTCTAATAAGAATGTCAACTTTCTAAATTGAAAATAATTTAACTTTAAAATTGTCATTTTATTCTTAGTAAAATGATTTGTAGTCAGACAATTGATCAAGAAGTTTTAGACCACAAATTTCAAAAAAACCTTTTTTTTCCCTTAAAATTTATGTCAATAGTCAAATGGTATCACATAAATTGAAATAGAGAGAATAAATTTTTTCCCAATCTCCTAAGGCTATAGAATCTACGAGCATGTTTGATTGGACTTATAACTTATAACTTATAAGCCAAAAATCATAAGCTAAGCTAAGATATCTAACTTATAACTTTTGACTTATTTTTATTACTTTGACTTAAAAACGAGTGTTGCTTAAAACTCTTTTTATTGTATTCAAACACTACCAAATCGTTTAAAAGCTATTTTGAGTTAAAAACACTTAAAATAAACCAACCCGAACAAGCTCTAAATGGAAAAAATGCAGCTTAACTTTGAAGTGAAGAATAACAAAGGAAAAGAAGGCTAAAAAGTATAATACAAAAGAAGAAGCAATATGCTTATCCACAATACAATATTCTCTTTTTCTCTCCCCAAGCTAAAGGCATTAAAGTAAACAATTGCATGATATACAAGTGACTTTGATGAACATGTACAAAAACATAAATGACATCAAAACCTTTCTTTTTTTAACATAAAAGCAACAACATTCCACATGGACTACCTCCAAATCATTTACATTAACAAAGTAGTAAATTCAAAGCAACATCCATCAAAGCTTGTCTCTTTGATGTTTTCACTATGTACATATTGTATTATAACCAGCTAAAGTGCTAAAGTAAAAGAAAGAAAAATATAGCAAAAACTAAAAGTGGAAAGAACATAAGGCAACCTCTCCTCCCTTTTGCTTTGAGTATCTGCCTTGTGAAAGAAACAACAAAAGGTAACAATGGTTCTTAAAGAAAATAAAAGAAGAGCAAAGCAATTACAAGTGATGATAGCATCAAGTGCTCCACTTTAAGCGCGAAGCTGGACTAGACTCAACGATTAATTTCTTGATCATCGAGTGATTGTTGTATGGATTAGACAGTCTTATCAATGATTAACCGGAGCATAGTAGACACTCGGTTTTGGTCACTGCACCTAGAAAGCATGTCCAAGTAATGCATGGCATCTGGAGGGAGGAGGCCTTCCATAAAGAAACGAAACAGATGTGAGTGTGTCCCGTGCATGACATCCAGACACTGGTCTAGGACTTTATCCTGTTGTGCTTTACTCAGTTCAGCCGCCTCCATCAGTGGCAGTAGATTCTTCTCCTCTTCTTCAAAGTGTTTCTTGCTATGCTCCTGCATTAGATAGACACATTTCAGAAGGATTTGGTGGACTAAAATCTGAATCACCCTGCAAAACATCTATCGGAATTCTGACAAGTGATGTTATAATGAATGTAGAATGTACGTTACCTTTAAGGTTTTGAGTCGAGTAGAGAGGTTGCAGAGGGCATCTTGGTAGGCAGGATGCCCTGAATCAAGAACTCCTATAGATTTGATATCTTCTTTAATACCATTCATCATAGGAAGGTCCCTTGCATGCTCCTCATTTGCAGCTTTAGACAGTCCTGAATTATAAGCTCACTAAAGGTCAATATATCGCGGCAAAACAACAGATTACCAGATCAGCATGCATTCGGAGAAGCAACTAACGTCAGACACACTAAGTACTAAAGCAAGGACATAGCTCCCTGTAAGTAAATTAATAAGCTAAACGTTCTTGTTGATCAGTCACTGCCTATCCTGGAAAACCTGTCTCTCTTTCAGTTTAACACCCTCCACCCTCAGTTGGAGTTCTGATTTTGTTCAAACATACATTAGAATAACAGTTCCACCGTAAAGATAACTCAATCTAAAAAATTGATTTTGTTCTGCATCCCGCCTTTCTGCATCCATTGAGGATCAATCGATCTTGTAAGTTAGTACCAACTAAATTTATTGCAAAAGCTGCTATATTTGACTCTGTCGTTGTAACCCCGTTTCCATTTCCAAATATCTTTCTTAAAACAGGTATATCATAAATAGAATTAATCATAACAAAGAGACATTTTTCAAGCATAAGGTCACAAGCTCCAATAAAGGAGAAGACTTGTGGTTGCTTTATGAGCTAAAACTAGTCTACTTAAACTAGCTAATCCTCTTGAGTATTGAGCCAAAAAATTCAACAAGTCCAAAACAATCCCCACAGAAGGGAATCAATACCAATACAATCCAACAATCAGCAGTAAATAACTCAATATTTCTGCACGTCCAACTACAGACAGCAAACAACAACATACACAATGAAATCGCACAAGTAGGATCTAGGGAGGGTAGAGTAGAGTGTACGCAGACCTCACTACTACCTTGGGAGGTAGTTTGATTGTTTCCAATAGACCCTCGGCTCAAGAAAAAACATATCAAAGCAGATTGGAAAAAGAAATAACGGAAGTGAAGAAATCATGGCAAAATACTATCGATAGTAGCAGAAATTGAACAATAAGGAACTATAAGATTAATACTACAACTACTAGTATGGAAGGATAAGCAACACAACGCGCTGCTACGTACAGGCATAGTTGATTGACTGATAAAAAGATTTACTTGATTCACAGTTAATCAATGGAGCTAAGCTAACAAACAAATTATCTTCACTATATTCTCAGCAATCTGATAAAACAAAATTTACCTCTATCAGCTTTTTCCAAGATTTGAAAGACAACTCTTTCTTCCATTTGAGCATGTTCAAGCATTAGCTCCAGCAACTGTGAATAACCTCTAGCAAACTTCCTCACCTCCATTCGTGGAGTCCCCATCGCCGGATCACCTCTTGCTTTACCTCCACGCGCCGCCAAGTCCTCCGCCCACCTCCCCATTCTCTCCAAATGCCACATCATACTCCTATGCTGCAAAATCACCAACCACACAACATACGGCGTCGTTTCATCATACCACCCACCAATACACCCCGTCAACAGCTTCGGCTCCGGAAACTTCAAATCCAAGTAACGCACCACGGAATCAACAGACCCAGTGACGGAATCCGATTTATACTCCACCGCCGGCGATTGGTGGGCATCGGAGGGGATGAAATTGACTGTCACCGGCTTGTAAAGCAGAGCACATCGAATGTAATAGGTCGTAACACTATTCGGATTTCCGTACAGCTTAACAGCCGGATATTTCTTCAGCACATCGGCCGGCGCAATCTCCGATGCCGACTTCCTCGATACCCCAAAACAATTCCCCATTTACCCAAATCGTATAAAAATCAAAATACAACAATCTTAATACAAAAAAACAACAACTGGGTTTTCGATTCTTTTCTTGAAATGATGAAAAAAAAACATGGGTTTTTCTGGGTTTTTGTAATTAAGCAATATTATATTCCCCGTTTAGCACAAAACGAAGAAATACAGAGATTCTTTAACCACTTGAGGAGAAGAAGAGTTAAATGGAAGAAATTAACAGAATAGAAAGGGACAAAACATTAACAAATCTTGATAGTGAAAACAGAGGAAGTTTACGACTATACGGTACCCATTAACCCTGTTATATTAGAAGAAGAAAAAAACAAGTGAAAGGAACAAATCTAGATCAAGCTTAAACGTGCATAGTAATGGAGGAAATGCAGGGGTATTGTGTATTGATTATTGAATTTTCTTTGAGTATTTTTAGCTATGGGGATGTGTGCAGAGCAAGAAAATGTGTATTATTATACTGTGTGATTCAACAATGGCTGGTTGATGAGGAAGATAAAGAGTTACAGAACGAGAAATTAGGTGCCAATTGGAGAGACGCTCCTTTGGGACCGGACGGCTCTGTTTTATTTGGTGATTCACCTTAACGTCTTCATTTTGACTAACTGATTTCCTTTGATTAGTAAAGGGGTCGGTTAAAATGGGATTTCGGTTGGGTTGGGTTAGTATGGTCTTGGGCGGGATCTAGAGGGTAGTGAGCGGGTTCACTCTGATTTTCTCGAAAAAAAATTTATATGATATATATAAAGTATTTTTAAGTGTTTTTTTTTATGTATATTTTAGATTTTTTAAATATAAAATTAGAAGTTGAATTAGTGATTAATGAATTATAAATTAACTAACATGGGGGGTTTAATTTGATGGCACAATAGACTATTTTTGATGGTTTGATATTCTCTTATTTATATTAGTAGTTGTTTATTTTCCTCTTTACATGCAAAAGAACAAATTTACTAATTTATCACTCAAGATTTTTTCTGGAATTTTATAAATTTATTTATACTGTTAAAAAGAACTAATTTAAAGATAAAATTACTTTGATTCTGTAAATTGACAAATAATATGAAATAACTATTTTTAATACATGGACAGTAATATAAAACGGAGGGAATAACATACTATTGAGTTTTTCTCCCAAATAAAGGGATAAGACATAAGTACTCCCTAAACTATGACTGAAATCTCAGAGATACACCATAACTAAACTAAGGTCCTACAACACCCCTGAATTCTTTTTTTTTTGTAATTTTGTACACCTTTTGTCTTACGTGGCACACTCCGTGACTTCACGCAATTGAGGCACATGTGAGATATTTGGATGCCATGTAAGCCAAAAAGGTCTACAAATTTATTTTAAAAAAATGGATTCAGGAAGGTAATAGGACATTAATTTAGTTAATGTGTATATCTGGGATTTTAGTCATAGTTTAGGGGGTACTTGCACCTTTTCCCCCATATAAATATAAAACCATATCAAATGAACCAACAAGGGTTGTGGTGGAGTGATAAGTATTCATTCATCCTTAATCAAGAGATGTCAGATTTGAGTTCCCTTGGTGCAAAGTCAGAGGGCGCTCTACCCACTACAAGAAATTTGATTATTAAGGACGAATTATTTTATCACTTAAAAATCATATTTCGTCACAAAAATAAATTTATGACAAAAAATATTTCGTCAATCTTTCGTCTCTAAACGCTCGTCTCTAATAGTATATAAAGACAATTTAGTGTGTCGTCACTGAAAGTCTTATATTAACTACAAAAAGAATATTTGTCCCCAAATGCATAGTATTTGCAACGAACTTATTTGTCATAAAAATGTAAATATTTTGTAGCTAAAAATGTCATATCGTCACTAAAAGTGTGTCTAATAAGGACAAAATTTATTTGTCACTAATTATTAATTTAATTAGTGACGAGCTTGATCGTCTTTAACGTTATGCATAATTTGTAGTAAAAAGAATAAGATTCCGTCACTAAAAGATGACAATTTCATGGTTGAAAAAATATTTTTGGCAGATAATAGGCGGTATTAATGATGAATTAATTTGTAGTTAAAAATATAATTATTATTGTAATTATTTTTGTCACTAAATTTTATCACTTCGTGTTAAATAAAAAAGTAGCAATAGGGTTACTTATTTTTTATCCAAAGAAGATATTTTTGTGACCTAATATAATTCTTATAACATTTAATGCTATGTAAATAAATATGTACTTAAACTATTTGTTGTTAATACATGTCAATTTCAATTGTTAAAGTACACAATCTATGTAAATAAAAACATCATAAAAAAATAATATACCAAAAAAACATAAATAAAAACACCGTATATTATAATAATTTGTAGATAACACTTGCATACAAACTCATTAAGTAAATAAAGTGAAATTACTCAAACAAAAATAGATAAATCTAATTGAGGTACGAAAACAATAACAAATTTAAAAATATAAAACTATGTAGTTTCCTTGTATACCAGTGCTCCATTATCTTACATTTTCACTCATTCACTTTTTTACATCTTCATCATTCATGTACCTGTGTAAAAGAAAATAAAGAATTTTAGTATTCAAACTTTAATTCTAAAAATACTTTTTGATATCATGATGTAAACAAAATATGTATTCAAACTTTAATTTTAACAATAATATTAATTAGTGAACTAAATTATAAAATGAGAATATATAAAATAATTTCTTCTATCAAAATTATTAAACATTCAAGTATCACAATCAATAAAAACTTATCTCCTTATTGAAATGGTGTCAAGAATTTCTACATTCAATCAACACCAAGTAAAAGTTGAATAACAATTTTGTAAAATAATTGTTCCTCATACTAGTTGAAACAAATATTTAAAAAGTTATAGAGCATTAACAAATGCTAGATGGACATAATTTGGGATACTAGATAAAAGAAGGAAAAGAAACGAGAGAGAGCAGTAAAATACCTATAGGAATGGAATATAGTATTTGTATTCTAGTTGGTTTTTTAGATTTAAGTGGATAGATTTTAATTTATTAATAATTCTAAAAAGGAGGAAAAAAGTGAGTGGGTAGTTTCATGTAACGTGGGATGGAAAATGGGGAATGAGTGAAGGAAATTTAATGCATTGAAAGTGGAAGGGAAGGTCAAATACTTAAAAGTTAAATTTTATTTTTTTTACTTTTACTATAATATTTTAGTTTTAAAATATAAATTCTCACAACTATGATTTCCGTCACTTAATGGTTTTCCATTAACTACTAAAATTATTTAATTTGTTTGACATAATCAAGTAAAAATAGTATGTCAATTATACTCCATCTATATAGATAAATTTAAAAAAATGTAAATTACATTCAAATAGATAAATAATAAAATGAGAATAAAATTTGGTATCTATTTGACAAAAATTATTTGTCGCAAAATTATATGTTAAAATAGAGACAATAATATCATCATCGCTAATTATTTAAATTATTAGTGACAAAAAATAAAGTCACAATTAAATGTAAAATTTGTAGTTAAATTTTACAATAATTAAGTACAAATTGTAATTCGTCGCTATTGAATCATCATAGTTTTAGTGAGCAAAAATTTTCGTGCCCAAATGTAGATTATTTTAGGACAAAAGATGATTTGTCATAAATTGGGTACATCATTTAGTGACAAAATAATGTGTCATTGATAGCTTTATATTTGTAACTAATAGTACTCAATAAATGGCGCCAACTTATTTTTTGGTGGGAAATTTTAATAGACAAAAATTTGCTACGAAATTTTATGTTTCGTCACTTAAAGTATTGGCCATAGATCTTTAGCAACGTAATATGATTTTCGTCATTAAAGATGAACAATTAGTGACGAATTTCATGTTGTAGCTAGTAATTTCGTAGCTAAATATCATATTTGTTGTAGTGACCCCAATGTGGGATTTCCCAGCGCGAATCTAAATTTAGTCGAGCTTCAATATAATTACGAACACCGGAGTATCAAATGCATTCAAACAAATTGGTTGATAAACATAAATAAACAAAGTCCTAAAAAATAAATGAGCATATTAAATGCATAATTATGGAGAGCAGGAGACAGCAGCAAAAATTTACTGAACAAGCTTCTTCATCAAAGTTTTTTTGGTGGCTATAATATCTATGCATTTATGACAATAAATTTGTTGATGCCATTTGTTAATAATGGTAAATACAAACTTAGCAAATTAAGTATTTAGGTTGTTGATATTTTTATCAATGGTTGATAATGTAAAGTGTAAAAAATTATTATGAAGACCTCTTTTATAATTAGAATTATATGAGTCCAAATAGAACAGAAAAAATATATATGGATGGTAATAATTAATTTATACAGTTTGTGGTATCAACTATATTTGGATTAAGGTGGAATTAATTGTTGTTGTTGTTGTTTTCTCTAGGCTTTTATCTATTAATTCAAATTATAATTTATATTACCTTATTTTCTTTGAGTTTGTAATATATGATGGGACACGTGGTTACTGACTAAAATTTAGCGGGCAATTTGTTTACAAATTTGAAATTAAATCATGTTAAAAAAAGGTTGATAATGATATACAGTACTACAATATATTTATTATTATATAATAAGTACATAAATGGTTTGAAATCATGTGATGGGACATTGCACTTTGTCTTCATGATTTGAATTAGTTAAATATATGATATTAATACACCATAGAGAGTAAGCATTAGTTATACATAACGTGAAAAAATATATTTAACAAGATATTACTAATATACGAAGTTAACACATGTATTATTTTTGTTAATACACTCTACCAAACAATTCTATATATATATATATATATTATCATCCTCATCTCCGTTAGGAATTACGAATTCGGCAAAATACAAAAATTTTAACTCAAATTTTATATGTATGTTCAAAAAATTTCTTAACATGAATATACATATATCAAGAACCTATTAAACAATATTTTTTAAGCTCAAATTCGTTGAATACGTACAACATTTGAAAATGAGGCTATTAACATGTTATGCTAATCTTTTAAGCATTAATTTGGGCCAAACAGTAGATGTATTTGAAGTCTTAAATTTTAAACGTATGTCCACATCATGTCAAAAAAAAAAAAAAAAAAAAGAAAAGAATTATTACATAGTTTTCAAAATGAATAATGCATAAGAGTCACAATTCCTAAACTTTATTTTGGTGAGTTTGTTAAGAAATGATTATTATGTGTGATGAAAGTATGTTGAACACGCAATCCAAATAATCATGGCAATGTGGATTATGGCTTTTAGCTTTTGATTGCTAGCTAGCTCAATCATAGAGTCTATATCAAGTAATAAGTTAATGACGCTCGTTTTTTTACATCAAATCATATTAGGTAATTATAAAAGTTAAAATATGTGTTAGTTAATCATAGTTAGCAATAAGATTATGAATTAAGAAATGCTTGATGTATTCATCAGTTTGATCTAAATATCGAATTTGGAGTAAATATTTATTACCAGTATCGTATATTTCACATCTTATTTTATTTGAAGTATATATGAATTCATGAATGTTTGAACTCCAATAAATATACCTAAAATTTGAGTCGATAAATATTTAAACACCATGAATCATGATTCATGGAGTTTCCACTAATGTTTTGAACACCTATACAAAGTTTCAAACTCGATCTATATTGTGTGTTAGATTATTTTGTTTTATTTGTCCACAAATTATTTTCGTGTTACATAATATATACTCCTATCTATTTCTTTATCACATTTTAATCAATGACTAAATATTAACAAGTGATTTGAAAATAGTCAATCTGAAATAATTTTTACAAATAACCGTTGCAGGAGCGCCCTCTAAGCCCATCTTCCACTATGCAATAATGGAACGACAATAATATGGTGCAAATTATCAAGATAATGGATGAAAGAAAAATGTTGGATTTAGTTTTGATTTACTTTTTCAAAAATTAAATTTTGAAAAAAAGTTTTTGGAAAATTAAATTTGTTTAGACATCCAAAACTTTTAAAGTGCTCTTTAGTTTGGCATGATTGGATTGTAATAACTAGAATTTTTATTTTGAATGAATGATAAAGAACTACTCTGGAAGATTTGAAAGAAAAAATATTGGTGGATAATACAGATAAGATATAAATTAATATACTATTAATAAATAATTTTTTTTTCTTAATTAGATTGTGGATTGTCAAAGCGTATGCAATACTAATGAAATTTTAACATGCAACTAGATCTTATGAATGTATCTTAGACCTACCTATATGATTTATATCGAAACAAAATTAGAATTTGAAATTTGCTAGAATCAAGCACTCATCTTAATCAATTATCCTACGCAAATCAAAGCAGACAAAAATTTAGACTAAAATAGTAAAATAAGGACCAAGCAAACATATATGTATGACAAAAACAATCAATTCAATTCAAAAGAATATTAAACACGACATTTATTTGTGAATAACTTTTTTGAAATGTTACAATTCTTTCTTAAAAAATATTTTGTTTGGATCATTTTCAAGAGATGGTTTCGATTTCTATTTTTTTTTTTTTTGCTGAAAAAATCAATTTTCAAAGTAATGGTTTTAAGCTATTTTTCAAAAAAATAATCGCATCTCAGTGTCTCACAACTCAAAAACACTTCACTCAACCTTTAAGAAACAATTAAAATTACCCAAACTTTTATTCTGCACAAAAAATCTTTACAAAGTATGGTAGAAAAATGTGACAACTTGAAATTTTTGGTCCCAAACTACCAAAAATGTGACGGAGTGGTAAGTTTTCCTTCACTTTTAATCAGATGTCTTTCGAGTTTTGATAAATAGAATCACTTTTGTTAGTTACCCCTGGGACATCCCGGCGAGAATCTGTATTAAGTCGAGCCCCACTATGAGTGTCAAACACGGGATGAAAAAAATTAATATATGAACCGAGATATCGATCAATCGAGAAATGGTTCCATTTCATGAACCTTCGCCAGTTAAATCCAGCACTAGGATCCTAATTCACAAGTGAGGGCCCGTTAAAAGCCCATTTCCTGTCTCGGCCCAGTAAGGAATGTTGGGTAAGTTTTAAAATGTAATCTAGGATGATTTTGACAAATAGCCACTTTAGGCCTTAAGGGTAATGGAATATCAGTCCCTATTTTAAAATTAATTGGTACTTGCCACATTTTATTAAGTAAAAGATATTTCGATAATAATATCTCAACTTCATACGATCATTTTTTCTCCACACAAAAGAGTTTCTTCTTCTTCTCGAATTCCATGACACTATAAAGAAATTTCTCTCATAAAAATTGAATCTCTGGAAAAACATCTTAAAAATGCATAGCAATTAAACAAAATCTACATCAATATTGACCTATAATTTTTTTTTTGTTTCCCATTCGATGTCTGGTACCCACATTGGAGCCCAACTAAACTCGGATTCGCGCCAAAAAGTCCCACATTAAGGGGTAAAACACTCCCTAACAAAGGCAATTCCATACCCAAGACGGCTCAAACTCGAGACCTCTTGGTTAAGGATGAAGAACTACTTATCACTACTCGTCTTGGTCATGTTTAAATAATTTCGAATTTAAAGAAATAAACTTCAAATATAACCATAGTTCCTTTTTTTTATTTAAAGTAAAAAATTAAAATTACCAACCTAACCCTCCGTTGGTTTTGGCCACAAATAAAAAGCGGACTGAAGTTAAACATTTTGAGTCCCGACTGCGCAGCAAAAGTACAAATTTTCTTCCATTTTTCATCTTCATCTTCTCCGGCAGTGAGCAAAAGGTAAAACTCTCAAGGATGAGCAGGTCTGGTCAACCTCCGGATCTCAAAAAGTATGTTATACCTCTCATCGAGCTTAGCTTCTGATTTTCATATTTTTTTCCCTTTGTTCCGATGTGTATATGAAGATTTCTTATTCGTTTTTCATTTTTGGTTTTGTTTTCTACAGGTATATGGACAAGCAGCTTCAAAGTAAGTTAGCAATGCTTTATATTTCTATGTTTTTTTAATTACTTTTTGTGGTTGGTTAGTTTGTTTTTGCTGCTATTTGCTTAGGGTTTAAGTATTTTTTCAGGGATTTAGGGTTTATTAGTTAGTAATACAGTATGTTTTTAGGTTTTTGTGCTTTATGTGGAGGGCTAGTTTGGTTTTGCTGCAATTTGTTTAGGGTTTAGGTGTTTTGTCAGGGATTTAGGATTTATTAGTTAGTAATACAGTATGTTTTTACGTTTTTGTGCTTTATGTGGAAGCTTAATTTGGTTTTGCTGCAATTTGCTTAGGGTTTAGGTGTTTTGTCAGGGATTTAGGGTTTATTAGTTAGTACTACAGTATGTTTTTACGTTTTTGTGCTTTATGTGGAGGGTTAATTTGGTTTTGCTGCAATTTGCTTAGGGTTTAGGTGATTAATAGGAATTTAGGGTATATCAGTTAGTAATGATTTGCGCCTCAAGGTGTGACCTAGTGGCTAGTGAAGTGGTTGAGAGTCATGAGGTTTGTGGTTTAAATTCTAGCAGAGACAAAAAACACTAGGTGATCCTGCTCAACTGTTCGAGCTTTGGTGGACAGAGTTACTGGTACCTGTTGCTGGTGGGAGGTGGCAGGTATGATGTGGAATTAGTCGAGGTGCGCCAAAGCTGGTCCGGACATTACTGTCATCAAAAAATAAATTAAAATCAGCTAGTAATGATTTATGTGTTTCTTTCTATGTTTGTGTGCTTTCTGTGGAGGGTTAAATTGTTTTTGCTGCAATTTATTTAGGGGTTAAAAATTGAAGTTTGTGTGCTTTCTGTCTTCTGCTACTGCTTACATTTGTCCGTGCAAAGTTGGTTATTATCGGAGTCTGTTAGTGACTTTTATCTAGGTACAAAGGTCAAAGAAGTAGTGTTTGCTGGCAAGTGATAAATTCTTGTCCCCTTCCTCATTATCACCAGAGAAAATTAAGTTCACTAAGTAATGCATAACCAGCGACAATCAAAGACATTATTGTTAGACTATTAAGAGCTGAAACTATTTTACATTATACTCTTGCTAGAACGTTATCATAGCATTATTTACCATGCTCTCTGTGTTTCCTATATCCCTCTATTACATCCCTGTTTAACATTTCCTTTAATGCAAAAGGATCACGTCCGAGTGGCTTAAACTGCAATTTTACAGTACCTTCTAGTCACCATGCAACCCAAAACCTTCCATGAATATTCCTACTGTTATTGCATGCTTTTGCTGCAGCAATTTCTTTTGCAATGTGTGGGGTTTAAAAAATGCGTGTGTGTGCAACTTTTGTCCCAGCATAGATGCCCCTGGACTTGAACATCTCTCTTTTTTTTGTGTGTGTGTGTGGGGGGGGGGGGTGGGGTTAAATAAGCAGTTTAACTAGTAAAGTGAACATTACAGATCAAAAAGAAAACCAGAGCTGGACATCTCCAGCCTGTTAAAGCATCTAACACTACGCAAGCATCCTACTATTCTTTCGAAATCAAAAGAACGTTCAGTATAGCAGCCTAAGGATGATAATAATTCAACTGAGCCAGTATTCTAGATAACCTTGCTCTCATTTCTCCTCTAATGTGGACATCCTGGATTGTAATTCTAGTGAGAGCTTCAGGACCTTCTTTTAGATTGATCTGCAGGTTCCTTTCTTGTCATATGTGTCATCCTATATACTTCAGGTAGTGCACCCTTACCTTTGCAGTTAGTACATCCCCATCCCATCTCCCCTTGCCACCCCTGAGCCTGTCCATGAATCTGTAGCCACTGAGGTATCTTGCTCCAGACTTGAGCAAAGTAAGGACACATTAGCATGTGGACACGGACTACATTTGTCATGATCTACACATGCCCATTTTGCCAACCTTTCTTTTGTAAGCAGTCTTCCAGAATTACCCAGGAATAAGTTAAATATTCATTTAGAAGAAGCCGCATTGTTGCATTTCAGTCTCCTCCATTCCACTTTCTGGTGGTTCCTTCTCAATTGTAAATATAACTGCTTAGTAGGAACTTTCCTGAGCATAGGACATCCGTTTCTTACCAGTCAACTTCCACACAAGTATTGATAAGCTTTAATGATTTCTTGGACCACCCAAGAAGCTTTCTTTGGTTGCAAAATACATCCCATAATGTACCTTGCTTCCCATAATAAATATGTACCACTGCATCCATAATCTGTCTTTCTTAAATGGCAGCCATGTTCCATGCTAGCAGATCAAATATATTCAGCCCTCCAACTGATTTGAGGCAGCATAAGCCATAATTTGTCCCAGGCAATCAGTGCTTTCCTTGATGTCTCTAGCCCTACTGTCCATAAGAACCTCCTACATACCTCTTCAATACATTTAATCACCTTCTTGGGCAAGATGAGAATTTGTGACCAGAAGTCGTGCACAGAGAATAACACAACTGTGCTCTTCCTGCATATGATAAGAACTTTGAGGTCCAGCTAGATATTCTGCCTAATATCTTCTCAATTAAGGATTGACACTGCACAATAGATACTCTTTTAGTATTCAAAGGTACACCCAAGTACCCAGTAGGTAGAGTACTTTTTGAGAACCCAAGTACTTGTAAAATCTCGTCCTGGATGTCTGATTGAACCCCTCCAAAGTAGATAGCACTTTTATCTACATTAGCAACCAGCCAGGTGCATTTGAGGATACCTGAAAGTAGGAGTATAATAGTTGTATGGAAATAGCATCCCCTTTAGGCCTCTACAATATAGCAACAGGTCATTAGCAAAACTTAATTGCACTATGTTCGTCTTTGCACATTTAGGGTGGAAGCTAAAATCAGAAATTCTCTGCAGCTGTTTCATTAAATTAACCTAGTAAGGTATTCCATAGCTGAAACAAAGAGGAAGGGAGAACAGTTTTTATGAAGCTGTAAATGCATCTTTTGCGTTAACCTTGCGTGCTGGACTGCATAGAATTTTTTAAAAGTGCAGTCTGAATGAAGGTGTTTTTTTTAGAAAAAATCTCTATAGATAGCGTTTTCTTAGTCAGAGAGAGCATCAATTTCCATGGTCTCATTTTTTAATTTTACATTCCTCTGTTAAATGCCTTTTGAGGTTGCTACCGCACTTGAGTAATGCTGTTTATCTTTCACAGTCAAGTTGAATGCAAACCGCTTAGTCACTGGAACTCTTCGTGGGTTTGATCAGTTCATGAATTTGGTCATTGACAACACAGTGGAAATTAATGGCAATGATAAGAATGAAATTGGCATGGTGGTGAGTTTCTTATTCTCTTCTCCTTCTCTCTCTCCCTTTACCCTTGTTCCTTTTCACTCTGGTTGTTTGGATCTTAGAGCTGTGAATACGATTGCTAATACATAATCAAGCCTATTTTCTTTTGAATAGCATTTGGCTTTTGTATAATTTAATGAGTTTTTGTTCTTTATCTGTTAATCTAAAAAAATCCATAATGATAGATGTCCCTTGAGTGAATTTAAGCTGGTCCTTACTGGTGCGTTGCTGCAAAATTTCAATTTCAGGTAATTCGCGGTAATAGCGTGGTGACAATTGAAGCGTTGGAGCCAGTCGCTAGACCACAGCAGTAGCTCTAACGGATCTTTGTTTATGCCCCAGATGCTGCTGCTGCTCGTTTAAAGGAACCTTAGGAACATAAGTTTGTACTGTCAGTTAACTTTCCCAAAAAAAAAAAGAAAAGTTTGTACTGTCAGGATTCAGTATTCGACTAGATAACAGTTAAGATGACAAAGGATTTCTGTTTTAAGTTTGATCATCAATTCTCTCTATTCAATTAGTGCACTATGTGCTGAATGCAGTTTGTATGTGTTCTTGTTTTTTTTCCAACTGAAAGGTGCACGATGTGATGTTCCCTTTTAATGCTCTTGAGGTAAAAATACTTCCTCATTTGAGTTTGTCACGTTTGGTTTGCCTTGTGTGGTTTCCATCTCCTTGCGAGTTATTGCATATGATTGAGTTTTGCTCAGTGCACACTCTATCCTTCAAGTTATAATGGCTGTGAATTTCTCTGTGTTCAAATAAATAATTAAATCATGATATCATCTCTACAGAATGATGCTACTAGAGGGACGTACACAAACAGCTGATTGGGTAGAAGTTCATCTTTTCATTTTGGGAAAAAGGACAAATATATTCTTGATATACCCTTATGATAGACGACGTGTTGACACGTGGCATCATCTCAATGACCTAACCAAGATTATTTAATTTTTAACCCAAAAATCAAAATACCTGTGACCTGGATAACTTAAACACCATGAGCCAAATTATAACTTAAACATCCTGACCCAAATGAAAAAAAAAAAGGCAACAACAACCATTGTCTCTTTCATCGATTCCTCACTTCTTCTTCAATGACATCTTTTAATTTCATCTTCTTCAATGCAACCATTGCCTCTTCAATGCCTCTCTTCTTCTTCGCTTTTCATAACACATTTTGAATTGTATTTTAGCATTTTAGTGATGTTTTTCTCCCGATTTTTTTTTTTTTGCAGAAGCAATCATTGGTTTGAGTATCAAGTGGAAGTTTCAGTATCCACGCATCGCCTAAATCGCTGCCTCTCCCGATCAGTTGAAAAGTGCGAGATACAAAATTTTAGCACTACTTGAAAAAATCATTGAGTACTACGTCAAATTCCGTCTTCTCCTGCTCTACCAGGGCGGCGGCGACGGCAACGGGACTACCTCCTCTGGTGCTTCAATGGCGGCAAGAGGGCGAGCGAAAGTTGCTCAACGCTGATGGAGTTTGGGAATGCGAATGAAGGAAATTGAAGCTTGGAAAATGAAGAACTTGACCAGAAGCTCTTGAAAAATCGAAGAACTCAGTATAACTAGAGAAGATGGAGAAGTGTTTTGGGTTATAATTTGGGGGTGGGTATTATGTTATTTGGGTGGGTTTTCAAAATAATGGATCAAAATTTAATAAATTTCGGATAGACATTTTAGATTGAGACACGTGTCTCGCCGTTAGTAGAAAGGGTATATACGCTCCAAAATTTAGACAGTAAGAACATAAAAGTCTTAAAAGTATAACATATGATATTTGCGCAGTTATAAAAAATATGAAGGAAGTTATAAAATTATTTGTTTTTTTTTTTTTTTTTTTAAAATATGATCAAGATCAAGTAAATTTCCAAACTTCAGGATAAGATACTTGAAGGAATTTTTTTTATATGACTTCAATAATTAAGCTTACCATTATGATTGTTAGTGTGTTTCATATACAATTGATTTTTAAGATAGGTAGCAATTACATCATTCTCCAACCATTAAGAACCTCAAATGTTTATTTATTCAACACTATCTATGCCAGGCAACTGTATCCATTTCGTATCCACTCTTTGACAGAGTAATGACTACAAAAATGAAAAAAATAGTGAACTTGTTCCTACGGACCCTCTCTTCACCATTGCAACTTGTGAAGATTTTACCAAAACAAAGGTCCGCCCGCATTCACTTGTGAAATTACCATTGAATATGTTGTAATTGTTGTTGAGTAGTAGAAAGAAGTTGAGAGGTAAAGGGTGATATAAGAAAAGAGAATTTGCCAGGATAGGAAAAAACTGGTGGATTGAAAAAAGTTAAAAGGGGAAGAAGGAACTATTATTTTTTAAGGAAAAGAATCATTGGGCTGATTTAATGCCATTTATCAGTAAAAAGTAATAGACTTGTTTAGATTAGGATTAAATTAATGACTACAACATAAAGACAGGGTCTTGGGATGTTGACTCAATTTAGACATTTTTTTTTTTTACATCTTATTAAAATAAATTTCAGATAAATATAAACTATATTAAAAACAATGTAAATTATAAGAGTGAGTGGTGTTAGAGAAAGTGGAGTGGTGGAAAGAGAGAAAAGAGGAACAAATTAAACAAATAATTAAAACTCAACATTAGGGGTAAGGGTTAAATTTGCCTTTGAATATTTATGCAAAAGGTTCAAGTATCCCTAAGTTTTAAATAATTATTTTTTAATTATGTGACATGTAACATCAATACTAAGCTTCTACTATTTATTCTAAAATAAGGATAAATTTATTTCATTTCGCATAGTTCAAGGATAGATTCGACCCCTATTAGTAACATTGAGGACATCTTTGACCCAACCATTAACGGACGAAAAATATATTTCCTTCCATATAATTCAGGAGCAAATTTAATTCTTTTCCCTAATTTCTATAATATTCAAACAATGCATGATTATTAAATTAGTTAATCTTAGTCAACACCACTAGGTTATGGACTGTTGACTTTATTAGTCAAAGGCGATGTTAAGAATTACTGATTGGTGTGTAACATTAGAATGCTATGCTTTTTTAATCTTCAAAGTCTACTATAATTATATGTTATTTTTAGGAAAAATTTACACTTAACAAGTATGTAATATTTTTTTTTTCCTTTTCAATATTATATTTTTATTTCCCTTGTAAGCCCCCACTCCCCCCCTATACATACACACACACACTATAAATTGTAACATTGTCATCAAAATTGGGTTATTGTCCCCACAAGTGAGAGTCAAAATTAAGGCATGGATGATCCAAAAGAGTTTACTTTTAGAGTTCTCATAGAAGAGTTGAATGCTCAAGAACAAGGGTTCCTTAAGAAACAAAGGTTTATGCAACTTGTTAATGAAATTGATCCCTCTTTGCAAAATCCTCATCCTCCTACTCCTCCTAGTGTTAACCCCAAAGAAAATGGAGAGGTGAAAATGATGATCGATGAGAAACCTGATAGGTAATCACTTAATTTTGTTTCGAGTTTATCTTTATTGACATGTTTTTATAGTCATCAAAATGTCATTGTATGCTTAAGATCATGCGTTGCATGGATACTTTTTATATGTGTTCTTTGATTTTGTATCAGTTAAACATCGTCATATAAAATGAGATAGAGGTCGCGTTAGTTTATTTCTTCTATAATTTATCTATTGTTTCCAAATGTTGTTTATTGATGCAGGAAAAGGAAGGACAGTGACTTTGATATGGAAGGTTCATCAAAATTTCCAAGAATAGGAGGTTGAGGCATTGATAGGATTATATTTCAAAGTATTTAGGTTTCAAAATTTAGTTTTTGACAATTTTTATTAATCTTTGTATTAATAGGATTTGTCCATGAACTACATATGTATGCATTTACAGTTTCATTTTAAAGATTTATAAAAATTTAGTCTCTTATCACCTTTGTTCTTTTTTAAATTATTTATGCATCTCCCTGATCAAATTCGCCTACATTAGATTTACTCGTTAATAGTTGAACAAATTTGATAGATTCGTCGTCGAAAACAGCTTACTATGATTTTGAGTTAATGTTTAAGAAGATGCATGTCACTACATAGATTACTTAGTCATTTGACTCATCTTACAGCTCTCAATCACGTAATTTGGGTTTATATAATTAAAATTATTTTCCATGTATATAGTAAATATTGAACCCCCTTCATCTTTTTCGTATATATTTACTTCTTTATATTTAGAAAACACTTAATAAAAATCTTGACTCCGTTACTACACTACCACATTACTCAATCATAACATGCTGGTCGAGCATTATTTTCGAGAAATTGGACAAAAGCAAATATATAAGTTTTTTTTAATTTAAGGTAGCTTTTAATAATATTAATTCTTTGCGGGATGTTCAAAATCGAAATGAAATCGATAATTAGAATAAAAAGGGTTATTGATTTATTAATAATGACTTATTAGTGTACGATTTCAGTAATAGTTTTGATTTTTTTAAATCTTGTTATTGGTTCTTAATGGTTGGTTAATCGATAATTCGATGGTAAATTAAATAATTATATTTATACCATGTGATATATAAAGTCCTTGACTTAGAGTTCAGTTTCGTACTTTTATTTCTGGTTGTCTCAACCTCTCAGTTATTCTATGTGACAGTTATTTGCTTTTGAGCAAAAAATTATCAACTCATGCGCATAGTAATATTATTTTCATTATTATTACGACCTATCTCCAGCCTCCTTGCAGCAGCCCTTCAAGTCAAACATATATGAATTTTACTGTCAACTCAAGTATTTTTATTTCTTAATGTTTTTTGAATTAAAGTAGAATAAACATTTTTGAATTAAAAAAATCAGTATTAGAAAAAAAAGTGTTTTAAAAGAAAAGAAATAATATATTTATCTAGAACATGGTATATTTGATTCATTAGGTAACAGTAAGGACATATTTGGACCAAATTATTGAAGACAGGGACATTTTAAAGTCAAAATATCAACTGAGGACATTTTTATTCATTTCACATAATTTAAGGACATTTTTAAATACTTTTTACGTGACATGTGTTATCACTGGTGCTAAGACTCTTATCTGTAAAACTAAGAACAAATTTACTTTATTTCACATTATTTGGGGATAAATTTAACTCCAACTACTAATTATAAAAATGATATATTTGACCTCAACTATTAATGAAGGGTAAATATGTTCCATTTGTCATAGTTTAAAAACAAATATGGCCCTTTACGCTAATTTCTATAATATTTAAACAACATATGAATAGTAGGATTTACTAAAATTCATTAAAATAGTCAATCTAGTCAATTTTTCTATAATATATATTTAAACAACATATAATGAAATATTAGGATTTATTAAAATTCCTTAAAATAGTCAATCTAGTCAATACCACTAGATTATGGTGATTCTATTAGTCAAAGTCAATTAAGGTAAATTACTGATTAGTGTGTAATACTTTTTTTTCTTCTTTTGATATCATATAATTAAAAAAACGAAAATCATACTATAGAGCAAGTTAAAAAAAACACGTTATATTATATGTTCCTTCTAATTTTCAAATGATTACTTGTACGGTTGTACCTAAGTAGTCAATACTTTACCAAATTATAATTTTGCTAATTTCATTTAATTTAATTTGC